AAAATCTATAATTAGTGGCATTTTTGCAAATGAACACCTTTAAGTGGAATTTTTGCAAATGTGCACATAAGAAGTGACATTTTTGCAATATCTCCTAATAAAATCTATGTATTATTAAAAAGATAAAATGGAATATATGGATGGTTCTTTAAAAACAAATTGGAAACATTAAATTTTACTTAAGAATCTTATCATCAAATATTGTTAACTTTTATTAGTAGAAAAAATTGAAGCTACTTACAAGGTATAATTTTCCAAAACAAAAAAAACAAGGTATATGATTTAATGATATAAATATGTGACTGATATACACGATTTTTCTCTGTGATTGATTCATGTTCTTGAAGGTTTTTTTTACAGTTTCTATCAATTCTGAAGAGCTCATGTGTTTTGTACCTACTGATTTTGAACTTGAAAAGGATACTTTGCATGATTATTCATACCAATGAATGTGGTTTAGTTCATGTTGGTGAAACTTCGAATCGGTGGACGAGAAAAAGGTGTGTGGTGAAGCGTTCAATTGCACCAAAAAATTGGGTATCGGTTCAACTGTAATGAAATTAAATGTCAATTTAGTTATTTGAGTTGTTGACCAATACTAATTGTGTTCAAAGAAAACGGACAAATTTTGTTCGAAGTTAATGATCAGGATGATGGTGAGTATGGTAGTAAAAAGGTTAGTGTTTGATTCTTTTAAAATTATTCTAATAGATATGAAGACAAGTTAGTCGAAGAACACAGGCAAAAAAAAGACAGGTAGCTAAACTTTTTCTTCAATTTTTTTCGAATATTCTTTTTGGTCAATCTAATATTGACTCATAAATTTAGGTAATTTGTGTAAAATCTGAAAAGGTTAGTATGAGTTTTAAATCATGTTTGACTTTACCGGTAGAAAACAATAGTTATATACCTCATTCATTTCAGAACTAAAATTCAATAAAAGTGAGTTATAATTATAACTAGATTCTCACCCGCACTATGTGCGGAAATATTCGTTTTATAAATTGTAAACTATATTTGGCTTTCGTATTATGTCGTATATAATATATTCTAACTTTAAATATCGAATGTTTTTAGTTGTAAGTAGAATCAATTTGTTTGAAATAATGTGATGGTTTTTGTTTTTAACTTGTAGGTAGAAATCGAGTAGTTTAGAGCATAACTTGTAGGT